GTTTCTGCTGCTGGCAGTGGGGGCAAGTGTGAGTGACCCCACCGGCCGCCTGCCGGGATGCCCCGTGGGCCTGAGGTGCCGGTCTCTCTCCACCACCACATGCTGCCGGGCAAAGCACAGACCCCCCCCAGGTGAAGGGAAGGCAGACGTCTATGTGTGCGGGGTGGGTAAATCTACTCACGGTGTTGATTATCTAGATATTTTAAATAGGTAATTTAAATACTGGGGGGGTCCTTAATCCCTTCCCCCTGTAGAAGCAAGTTGTGAGCCCTGTCTTCTCTGCCGGGCACTAAGAGGCACTGGCACACATAGCTCCTTTATTAACAAGCTGGCTGCCACTGGCACACGCACACAGATGACAACGGCCATTAAAAACATTTTTTTTCCCCATATAATACTCCAAAGGTTACTCTTGCTGACAAGTGCTTTTCAGCTTGTGGCCAGGGCTGGCCAGGGCTCAGCAACTGCTGCTCACGTTCATGCAGGTTGGCTCCTACATCAGGATGAGGGATGTGACCACTCCCTGGCAGAATTAACCCAAAAAAGCTTTTGTCTGTTTTTTTTTCCCCAGAAAAAAAAAAAAAAAATTCCAGGTGAATGATATGTGGAATGACCTGCTGCCAGCTAACACCAAAGTACGATGGGTTGAAATTTCCTGGCTTTGAATGGTGGCATGTTCAAGCATGACCAGAGCTCCTGGATACCCTTCTGTTACTATCTATATCTATCCTATTGTGCTATCAAGAACTGGATGATGGTCATTCCTCAAAGGTCTTGCTACAAACCTTTTATCTGAAAGGTGTCCAGGTATGACAGTACCGGGTGTCCTCCAAAATTTTTTCCCAAAGCAAAGTGCTATGCTGGTGGAGACATGCAGGTAGGCATCATTCCACCACAACAGTGGGCCAGGGTGCTTGAAGCTTGAGGTGGCACACAGCTGATGGGGGGCTTCTCCTTGCAGATGATGCTGTGAGGTGAGGTCATGTTGCTGCTTTGGAGGGTGGTGGTGGGGTCCTCCCATACCAGGGACAAGTGGCTTACACACCAGTTCAGCAACCCCAGCCATGGAATCAGAGGAAATGTGCATCACAGAGTATTTTCGTGTTTAATTTTTGTGTGTCCAAAAGAGCCTTGATCGCACCACCAACACATCAATTGCCAAAAAAAGGTGACAAAACCTGTTCTGAGAGCTGCAATTGCCTCCTCCCTGACTTAAAACCTTTCCCTAATGGCTCTAGCAAACACTTCATTCTCACCATACCATACTGCACCCGATTCCCCGATGCCTGTGCGCTCTGGGATGAGCCCTTCAGTCCTGGACCTAAGCCTCAGCACCTGTGGGGACCCGGATGCTTCTGCACAGCCAGCCCCAAAGGGTTGCACCCCGCCCC